AAATGTAAAATTTGACATACTGTTTCATATTTGTTGTATACTCAAAATTTATCTAAACAGTTCTACATATAATGAATCTGAAATATGTTGGTAATAAAGTCATTAGGTAAAAAACTTAAAGAAATGACAATTATTTATTTATGAGTGATATGAAAAAAACTAAAATTTGTTAAATATACTATTATTAAAATATTAATCCTATACGTAATCGTTTATATAACAAATAAATAACTTTATTGTTAGGATGAAATTTTTCATAAAATCTTAAAGTGTGATGATGGAATGAAAAGTGTAACTTTTATCAAAATAAAATCAAGATGAATATTTCAATGGAATCAAAATGCGAATATTTATAATCCTCCTGTGTTATGTATTATGTTTTGGAGAAGTGGAACTGCGTAAGTATGATTTTTTTAATAATTTAAATGGTATCTCAAGATATTAATAAACAATTGATAATATGATTTTTATATTATTTATACTAATTCACACTAATTTTCAAATCCGTTAGGTGAAATATTTCTAGTTTATTTCATTACAACTTCTAATTAACATTTTTCTTCATATTTTCCAGTAAAACAACGTAAATCCAAAGCCAAGCAATGTGGCCCCAACCAAGTATTTTTAGCAAGTGGCCCTTGCGACACATTTTGTCCAGGACTGAATATAGCAGTGCCAAAAAATTGTTACATTAAAACTCCTCAATGTCATTGCGAACTGGGATATGTTCGGCAATTACATGAAACTTGTGTTAAAAAAGAACAATGTGGTGTTCAAATTGTTACAAAAGGCAAAAAGTCGAAGAAACGAAAAGGTTGCAGACAACGAGGGCATCGGAAGAAATGTAAAAGTTTATATGGAATTTATTTTGATTAAATAATAGAAGTAGAAATGGAATTTACACATTTAATTGTAATATTAGAGTGGTCCTTAATATGGATTTTTTAGAATTTTTCATCTGAATAGTATTCGTGAACTCAAATATTATGACACATAAGAATATTTATAAACCACTTATTTGATTAGAGGTTAATCAAATTCGATTCATCATGGAATCAAGATTAATTTTGCTACAAAATATTTATTTAATTGGTGATGTTGAAACTCAAATTATTATCTTGATTCCATAATGAATGAAATTCTATAATGAATATATATTATAGAACAGCCCACATGGATTTATTGGACGTTAAGTGATTTATAAATATTCTTATGTCATAATATTTGAGCTCACGAATACTATACAGATGGCGCAAGAATTTACTTAATGACGTATGTTAATAACAAATATAAGAAACTTTAAATTGGCGTGCGCTCTATCTAAATGCTTATATTAGGAGCTAATACTATTAGAAATCCATTTTTTATTCCTTTACAAGCATTTGAGCCCTTGGTAGCAAGAAATTAGAAAATATCGATATTGAGGACTACGCAAAAAATTATATATATATATATATATATATATATATATCTATATAATTAAATAAATAGCTCTTATTTTACTTACCTAATTAGTAATAAAATCTGATATGCATATCACGAATAAAAATTTCCATGCAATTTTCCAAATTCTTTCATCTTGGTTTTCCTAAAAAATATTATACAATTATTTAATTATTAAATATAGTATACATAAATAGTAATAATTGTAATGTTAAATGTTAAATATTTATTAAGCATATAAAACAAACCTTTAACTAATTGCCAATTGTATTGTAAATCGGATATATAATTATAAAACAATTATAAATCTATAATTTTCATAAAATATTCTTGATATAATAAGAAATTTTAAATATTGAACTGTTTCTGTAAATAAAATTAAAAGCATCTTTTACCATCTGTATTTTCACATACTGCCTAAACTTTAGGCAAAAATTTAAATCTTCACAGCATAATATTATGTATATATATTTTATCGAAGTAGAAATTTATAACATTGTAAAATTATAATTTATTATATCTGATTATTATAAAGTGCTCATTAAAATTCATAATATTTTTGTGCTAAATATTATTCTGGTTGATAAATTATCTGATTTTGGTAGTATTTAATATACTTGATATAAAATCGTAGAATTGTAAATAATAAAAAAAACAATGAAATGTTTATTATTAAAATTATAAATTTTATACGTGTTAACCTTTTTCAGAAAAAAAAATTAACATAGGACATAAATATTAATTTATCAATATGAAGTATCAAAAAGATAAATCATTACTAAGACCATAGCTGGGCACCGTTAATCAAATAGTTAACTTCGTTAATCGTTAATCCGCTACAAAAAAAGTTAACTTCGTTAAACGTTAAAGCGTTACATTTCGGAAGAATTAACGCAAGTTAACGTTAATCGTTAATCCGTTAATATGTGTAAAATTACATTTTTATATCGTTGCGTTAGTGAACTTAAAAAACTTATTAGTTTAGGTTCTGGAAGTTAACAGGTTATGAATAAAACAAAATACTTGTATAATTCAAATGTGTAATTTAATCCTTATATAACACTTCCGTGTGTATAAGGAAAATGGCACAATTATCACATACCGTGATAACGCTATTGGTCAACTTTCCGTTTTTATGATTGCATATTGTTTTTACCAGTTTTTTTTTTCTAAATAAAGGGAAAGAGTTTTTTTAACTTCCCGTAGGGCAAGTTATAGTAATCGCAAAAAAATCAAAAATGAAAATTTTTACATTTCTCGACGTTTCAAAGGTTTCTGAATATTTTGGCATACCTTAGAAAAAATGGATGTATGTGTGTGTGTGTATGTATGTGTATTCGGATACAAATTTTCGTCGACGATTTCGGGAACACGGATCAACCGATTTGAATAATTCAAAAAACATTCGATTCGTATTGATAAGAAGACATGCTGATTAGTTTTTGGCAAAGGCAGGTCTAGCCGTTCCGAAGATATGGGGCAAAATTGAGCCAAAAACGGTAACTCAGTTTTTAAGAGAACCGAGCGTCCGATTTTAATAATTCAAAAAACATTTTACTTGTATTGACAATTATGAAGAACTGATCAATTTTTCATGAAGGCAGGTCTAGCGGTTTCGGAGATCTAATGAAAAAAGTAAAAAAAAAAATGCCATTTGGCGGTCAAAATGATCATTAGACATATGCACATCAAATTATCAGATATTTTATAGAGCTTTCAACAATAAGTATACATTTTATTTACATTCCTATGGGTTCCGTACCAATGTTTATCCTTTAGACAGCGACGCGGCGCTTACGCGCTTTATATTTTGTCTCTATGCGGTCCTAAAGCAGTAAAATTGCTTTGAAAAAAAGTTCAGATCTTCCAAAATATGTCAAAATAAAGAAAACTTTTTTTTTTCAAAAAAAATTAATTTTTTGTCCAATAGTTTATAGTTTCTCAAAAATCTCATTTTTTCGAAGTAAATTTTTTTCAAAAATGTTAATCGTTTTTAAAAAAATAATAATTTTAGGTACGGAAAGTACCAGCAATTTGCCTTAAGGAACGATGCCTTAATTGCCTTAAGACAGAATTCCATTTACAGCTAGTTTTTGCGATAAATAGGAAACGCGCGACGGGTTAAGCGTCGGGCATAAGGTGCATATTCCCCTTCATGAACATTAACATGTTGAAGTTCTCGTCTGAAAGCGAGGCTCGTTTTGGTGTCAAAATGTCTTTACCCGCGGAAAACAAACGTTCAACTGCAGCGCTTGAGGGTATAGCAGTATTGTATTTAATAAATTGATTTATGAATATCTGTTCCCCGAGGAATGCAGCATCGTTGAACGAGTCTTTTGATTTCATATCCAGCCACATTTTAACGAGAATTTGCGCTTTATTCTTTAAAGAGTTTGTAGCTCTTTGGTTTTTCTATAGACTGAATGACAGAATTGAAAAAGTCTTCCTCCTCGTCATCATCGTTGTTACTCGCATTGCTCCCTCCGCCACTTAAACTATCTCAGTCCTTCGAATTTTTCGCTGCTTCTTGCCATAAGGCATCTTCTACCTTTTTTCCGTGCATTTTCTTACTGCATTCCTCTCTACTGCTGTCATACGTTTCCAGCCACATTAACCGAAACTTTGGGTGAAATGCCGCGGCAAGTTGGCACTGTTCATCATTCAGGAGTAGTCCAAATCTTTTCTCTATGCCGTTTAATAAGGCATTGGCTAAAGCTGTGCCGTGCGGTAAATAGTAGGCATTGGATTAACGATTAACGGACTTCTCGCATTTTAACGGAAGTTAACGTGTCCGTTAACATTTTTAAAAGTTAACTTAAAAGTTAATCCGTTAATCAAAATGTTAACTTCGTTAATTAACGATTAACGGATTAACGAGTTAATGCCCAGCTATGACTAAGACTATTAATATTTCAAGAGATATATTTTTGGATTTAGGTCAGTATAATTTTAAATTATATGCAAAACAAAATGCATGTGTTTATATTATAAATCTTTATGTAAATATTATTAATTAAATTAAATTATCATGGAATGCAAAATTGCCTCAACCAATTATAAAAAACAAAGCATGGATATAAAGATTATTTTGCTAAAATATGTGTACATATCAATACTAAAATCATTTATTTAATTAATAATAAAATTATAAAAAATAATTATATTTTCAACATATTTTGATTCTTGAAATAATCAGCATATGCAATCAAGAAATTTGCTTCTGTAAAATCCAATGTAACTAAAACCAGTATAAAACTTAAAATTTATTTATATAAATATGTCAATAGAGCTCTCCAAAACTTAACAAATTAGATTCTAATAAATATTCTATTTTTATGTTTATAATTTATATCGACAATACTTGAATATAATATAAAAACTTCACAATATTACCAGAACAAATTTTTACTGAAATTGAAAATACTTAAGTTGAAAGTTTACTTAAGTTAAAAATGTATTTGCATATCTTGTAGATAATTTCAATTTGAAAATTAAGTTTTAACCAAAAATTTAATAAATTGAACCCATGTACTTTATTTTTTTTATTCACTTTTTTTAATTTACTCTCTGGTTCCAACGTTTTTTCCTCAAATTTGAATTATTTCAAACTTTATTTGGATCATCTGGAAAAATTTAGCTATGTAAATTCATTTCAAAAATTGCAAATGAGACCAAAAATAAACATAATTTAGCTATATCTTATAAATACAGCTTAATTAATGAAATCTGCACAAAATTCAAATACTCAATTAATAAATATTTATTACATTTATTCTTCGGCAACAGTTTCTTCAGCAGCTTCTTTAACATCTTCAGCTTCTGGAACTTTGGGTTGGTTTTGTTCATCATCACTTCTTGGTACAATATTTGTTGGACAATCTTCTTTCCTTACACAAACTTTTTCTTCTGCACTTTTTTGGACGAATCCTTCAGCACATTTGCAACCTGCAATAAAATATTATTATAATTATATCTATTTTCTGCTCATTTGCACCAAAAGAGTTTAATAGCTAGTTCAAGAGTCACTGTTAGTTTTGGAGATTTTCAATAAAAAAATGAGCTATATTATTTACTAATAAATTTTAACCAGTATTATTATCTTCTGATAGAGCTATGCAAATGGATAAAAAACACAAAACTGATACTGGAAATTTCAGTACAACTCAGTTTCACATTTTTAGAATTGTACTCTATCCAAGTTATATGAATACATGTGAAGTTCATGAGTTTTTTCTTAGTAATTTACTGTTTACTGTTTTGCATCAATTTTTGTTTTGTATTAAACTATCAGTAGTATTATAATGAATAAATGTTAGTATTTTACCAATATAACATTCTCTAGAACAAGGTCCAGGTAAATCGTTCATGTAGTTAGCACAAGTTCTTGAACAAGAAGTGCCACAGGAAGTAAATTCTTCATTTTCTGGGCAAGTTGTGTTCACAGCAGGCAAAGGATCAACAAGGTCTTCTGGAAGAATTTCACCTGGAAGAGTTTCTTCTGGAAGCGTTTCATCTGCAAATGTTGAGTAGACTAGTTAAAATTAATTTGTAAACGAAAGATAGGAAAAAAGTATGTTAAAAGATATGAATATAAATACAATAATTTTGGAAAATCACATTATCTTTGGTTAGTGTTACAATTGATAACAATTGTTAGAATGATTAAAATATGTGTCACAGTTTTGATATTCATATATAAGTATTAACCGCACTATATATATATCTTGCCCACTCGCTCACACGTTTTTGTATGCATCGCTCTCTTTCTATCTAGTGTGTCAGAACGAAATTTAAGTTGGACGAACAAAGAAACAAAGAAAAATTAAATAAGGAAAAAATATTATCACATTTGATGGAACAGCGTTTAAATTTTTGTAATCGGTCAAACACCAGCACACATACATTTTCTAAATTTGGTCTTATGCGTTTCAGAATAATTTGAAAAACCAAAAATTTGCAAATAGAGAAATTTTATTATTTTTCTATTTATTATTCTACTCACCACAGTAGACAAAAGCAGCCAACACAAGGCAACTCAATACAGTAACTAATATAACTTTCATTTTGTAACAAACTTTTCTTCACTCTAAAATAGATCTAAAAATTCAAATCGATCGATCGCAGTATAAGGAATGAATAGTTACAAAAATGTAACCTAGTTTATATAACTTTTTGCGAAATGCAGTGACCTTTTAGTGCAATGTCATTGCTGAATGCGCTTTTCGCACATTTCCATAAATTAAGTGATAACACCGATGATCCTATATGAGTTATACGAAAACAAGGACATTCCGACTTTAAAAATATAGTTTATTGCATTTTTTTAATATTACACAAAGCTGATAAACGTGCGCGAAATAAATGCTTTGTTATGTTTGCTAATGGTTATGTTAATATAAAAAATCCCGATGTTACTAATCGTGAAAATATTTGTGAAAAAACAATTATTTAAATACAATCTGATATTATTATCTCTATAATAGCTATATATATATATATATATGTATATATATATATATATATATATATATATATATATATATTGACGAAGAAATATGTTGCAAATCATTCTGACAAAAATTAAACAATCACAAGACTGTTTAGTGCATGAACTTTATCGACATGTTGAATTCCATTAAAATTAATTTTACAAAACAAAAAAATGATTTGTGAAATTAAGCATATGCTATAAAAATATTGACATTGTTTCGTATTTAATAAAATAATGTTAACATTTTTTACGCAAGTAGAGAACTTTTGTAGACTGCTCATTAAGTTACACATATATAATAAAAAACGGTTACAAACAAGTATTTTTTCTAGCTTTTAATTTTGTGAAATCTTTTGAGTAGTTTTTAAAAAAACGTTGAGAAAATTCAAAATTTTTACTTTTCACATCACGTTTATGACTTTTGGCACAATTTTTTACAAACTTTGACGAATTTTCAAAATTAATCCACTTGTCGTGGGAACATAAAATTCAAGTATGTTTAGTATGAACATGATCTCTATTATTATCATGAAAACTTGATAAAAATCGTCCAATTTTTTTTTCGGCATTTAATTAGTACCGACCAATATTTTTTAAACAGTTTTTAAATTTTCGAAACCCTTCAGAATTGCGGGCTAAAACGTGGACAAAATTATTTTAAGTTTTGAGATACATCGAATTGCTTTTAAATACATAAAAATAGAAAATCTTGCTATTTTAAAATTTAATATATTAGATATTATTATTAGAATATATTTTAAATAATAAAAGTCTTGAATCGGATAGTCTTAAATACAATTTTTGCTACTCTTCGTTCGTTTGATTTAAATTTGGATATTAAATAATCTCTATTTGAGTCAACCTTTTCATTTAAAGCATTTTCAATAGAGTTCTTATATAATTTGTTTGTTCTATATTCCATATGTATCAAAATATTATGACTATCATAATCAATAACAACTTTACAGGTCAAGGATGATTTATACAAAACTATAAAACACATAATAAATAAATAAGTAAATGCATTTTTTAACTGAATGCATTAATCCTATCTTTAATGATAAAATTAATCTTATCTTAAAATTTATCATCTTAATATTTAAGAAAAGTTGATTATTTTACAAGTGGACATGTGTGGTGAAAGTTAACTTAAAGAAAAAGGTGATAGTTAAGTAAAAGTAAAGTGAATTCTGAGAAAATTTTGTAAAATTTACTTAAGTGAATATACTCGTGCTAAAATGATATTTTTCTATATTTATTTAAATATAATTATGTAAATAGTGTTTACGATTAATTTTATATTTATAAATGCCTGAGCTATGTTTGCTTATTGAAACGTTTTCCAAAAATAACTTTCAACTAACAACTTTATAAATTATTAGAATATTTTTGAAAATCACTTTCACACTTTTGTTAACATATAAAAAATACAAAAAATATTAAAAAATAAAACAAACATAAGAGTGATTAAAATTTTGCACACTTAACTTAAATGTAAAATTTACCTAAATTTACCTAAATAGAGATAGTCATAAGCTATTTAAAGAGACAATCTTAAATTTAAGATTGTCTCTTTAAATAGCTTATGACTATCTCTTCTAACTTGTATTTTACTAAATTTTTCCAAATATATAAAAGTGCGAATTTTTTTTACAATAATTTTAACTTTAATACTTTTTATTTATAAAATTTTGAACTTTTTTACTAACAAACCTTTGATGTGGAAACTTGTAAATAAAATTAGATGGACAACATATGATAATAAATATATATTAATAATTATAAATTAATTGATTATGTAAAGTAATATCATAAAGTTATTATTTACATATCTATACATCTTTATATAAATTTTGCATTCAGAAAATCCTTATTTAAAATCACCACTAAGGTATATTTGGATGTACAATGTATCCATTAGATTTTACAGAACAATTTTCTGGGTGCAAAATTTATATAAAGATGTTACCATATGTAAATAATAATTTATTTACAAACAAACACTTTATGATATCACTTTACATAATCAATTAATTTATTTTTCCGCTGATTTATATGAATCGTGATAACTGATTTCATGGCTGAAATAATTAGAATAAGGCAAACGTTATAAAAGCTAATGCATTTATCGGAAACTAGTTAGTTCTGTGATAACTATTGATCAGTAAACATAAATAAAAAATAATTGATAAATTTATTTATAAATCATCATAATTCGATATAATTTACAAAATGCGTGCTTTGACTTTTATTTTGTTCAGCTGTCTTTTGTTTGCTGCTTTTGTCCGTTGCGGTAAGTGGTAAAATTATTATAAAAAAATTATTTCCATAAAGGCCACTTGTTTGAAAAATGTTTTGAAACCTAAATGAATTTAGTAATGTTTTCATTTTTTGCATAAAAATGCTACATTCTAGTTATACTTTTTTTGAAATTTTTTTGAGTCATAGGCAACCAGAAGTGCAGCAAGTTGAAAAAAACTTGACTTGGCCTAGTGCTCAATGCATCATTCTATACAAGGAAAGAACTTTCAGGAAATTGATAAGAAAATGAGTTTTGCTAAACTTACTATATTACAATTAACTTCTTATTTTTTTCTAGATGACGAAGCTGCTGAAACAGATCACCATCCAGTTGGTCCTGAATCCTGCACCAAAGAAAACGAGGAATTCCAACCATGTGGAACAAGTTGTCCAGTAACCTGTGCAAATCATTTGGACAAAACTCCGAAACCATGTACCCTGCAATGTGTTATTGGATGTCACTGTAAAGCTGGATTTGTCAAAAATGATGAAGGAAATTGCGTAAAAGAAGAAGATTGTCCTAACCATCCATCTGGGGATCATGAACACCATGAAGGGGATGATCATGAACACCATGAGGAAAAACATGAGGACCATGAAAACCATGATGAAAAACATGAAAACCATGAGAACCATGACGAAAATCATGAACACCACGAGAACCATGATGAAAACCATGAACACCATGATTAAATTGTAGATGAGAGGTATTTGAATCAAAAACGTGAATTTCAAATGACTGATAATTGGTAATTGGTTTTGATGGCAAATTCGATCTGATGATACACACATAGTCCTTAGTTTAAGTTGTAATAAATAAATAATAAAAAATACTAATTTTATTGAGCTTTTAATACATCAACATCAAATTTTACAATCACAATCTTTCCTATGAACTTTGACTGAGCCTAAATTATTTTTTCTCATTTTGGACATTCGGATGGCAAAACGCATTTATTTTTCTTCGTATCCAAAACATAATGCATTTCACAAATGCACTGAGGCAATGCACCACATTCTGGTTTGCAGGCATGTAGAAGATCTTTATTTTCACAAGTTTTTGGACATTCAGGAACACATTTGCTCAAAATTTGGTGTTCTCCACATTTTGGTTGGCAAGACACTAGATAATTGAAATATTTTACGTAAAATTTTATAAAGATCTTAGTAACATAATAATAGTTGTATAACAATATAATAGAAATAATAGTATAACATAGATAACAAAATATTTTTAGTTAAAAATGGATGGAAGTTTGGATCAAACCTCTAGTTAATAATATGTCTTCTAACTACATGGATTCAAGTTAAAATCCTGAAATAAGTGGAAATATAATATTTGAGAAATTAGATTATATTTGAGAAAGATAACTTAATATCGTGAATTTTTTTATACTGATCACGCATTTTTTATAAAAAACTTTGTAAACACTAATTATATTTTAAATGGTATATTGCTTGCGTACTGATTTCGTTATCAATTTAAATTACACGACAGTTATTTTTCCCATGATTTATGTATATGGAAATTACAGGTTGTTGAATATATTCTGCAAAAATTTTAAAATGCAAAAATAGTGGATATAATATAATACAAACATAAGTTGAACAATGTGTATCAATATTCATTATAATTTTCTAGAATAAACGTAAAATCAAATTGTAGCATTGAAAAAGTAAAATTTATATTTGAGAATTTTCTCTATCTTTACGAACTCGCTGGTTTTAAATTTTTCAATGTTTTTAAGAAGGATTTGGTCATAATATGAGATTTAGATTTTTTTCTAAAAATTCATATACAAAGATTTTAGCAATAGATAAGAGCAATTATGGTACAGCAATTAAAATGATTATATACTAAATTTTTTTGATTCGAGAAAGATCCCTGATTAAAAATTTTCTTTGACCAATGTTATTCTCATTAAATTGGAGTTTTATGGAAATACTCTATATTAAATACACAATTGAACTTTTTTCACAATTTATATTAGTATACATACAATAGCAATTTTTTTATTGACAACATACCTGTGCAAAGTGTTGCCACTATAAGGCAACATATGATACTAACTTTAATTGAGAACATGATAATTAGAAATTGTAACAAAAATTAATTTTAATATTAGTAGATTCTTTATCCAGCGATAAAAATATGACTAATGCAAAAATTCGGTGTAAAACTCGGTTATATATGCACACATTTTCATTATTTGTTGTCAGAATTTACAACGATTCTCAAAACATCTAGTAATGACATTGATGGCCAAGTATTATGTTTTTTTTTATAAATTTCATAAGCATATAGTTATAATCTGTAATTTCTGATTTTTTAAAATATTTTTTAGAAAGTAATATTTTTCTAGATTATTGCGAAATTTAAATAAATGTGTTGAAAATAGAGGATTTTATAATTTGCCTCATTGTCATAGTATTGAAGAAAATGATCATGAAGGAATTCTATGAAAAAATTACTATAAATAACTACGAATAATATACACACACTAATAAATTTCTTCACCATAACATCAAAAATAAACTTTCTTTCATGAAATATTAAATTAAATTTAATGCTACATTAAATAATATGGAAATAAACACTAGAATTGCATCTACAGATTATCAGAAATTTAAATAAACAAAGGGGCAAATTCTCCTATAAAGCAGTCAAAAAATAATAATATATTTGCTATGCCATCAGAGCATCTTTTTAATGTGCCCTTGATAACACATACGTCAAGTTAGGTTTTATTTTGCCAATTTTTACTACCAATTTATATAAATATAAAACAGTAACATAACGTTGCTGTAACATAATTATTTTATCAGAATTGGCCTTTATGTTCTCCAAAATTGTCATAAATCATTCTTAATATAAAAAAGTACTAATTCACTAAATTTAGTCTTTTGCCATCAGTGCATAAAATATTTTGAATTTTGAATTGTATGTTTTGAAACATCAGCGCGTTGGAATAAAGAATTTAATAACAATAATAAATTCAACAGTGATCGATTATAATCGATAAATATGAGATAAATGAATAGAATGTTAATTTATTAATACGGCATTGGATACATTTTTTTTACTTTTTTCATTCGATATGCCTTCACAGAAATTTTGTCAATACAAGTAAAATGTGTAAAATAAAAAAATGTATCCGCACACACTCACAAAAATACACGAACGCACACACACACTCATCCCATTTTTTCTAAGGTATGCAAAAATGTTCAGAAACTCTTGAAACGTTTCATTTTCGATTTTTTGCGATTGCTATAACTTATCCTACGGGAAGTCAAAATAGTCCAAGAATATTCAACAGATGTAATAAAACAATTCTTGTAAAGATACACACATGTAATAAAACAATACTTATAGAAAATTTGTGAACAATTTTATTTTATTACCATTTGAATAAATGACAATTATAGAACTTGTGTATCTTTTACAAAATTTTCAGATTAAATTTTATTCGTTTTCAGTACTAAAATTAATCTGAAATTCCTTCCTTGGGCATTCAGAACGCAAAACGCATTTTCCTCCCTCGGTGAGTCTTACGTAATCATCGTCGCAAACGCAGGTTTTGGGGCCACATTTTTGTTCACAAATCTGTGCTATTCTGAGGTTTTCGCAAGTGATGACACATGGTGACGTGCAACTAACCCAAATTTCGTGTTCTCCACAAGGTCCTTTTCGGTGCTCATTCAAAAGCTCATCATAATCATCGGCATCATCTATAGAAATCATTTATGGTGACTATTAGGGAATGCAATACTGGCATACCGGTATACCGAATTACCGGTAAACCGCCCGATTTTTCGGCGGTATTTTTACCGGTATTTACCCCCCCCAAAAACGGTATTTTCGGTATTTTTACATAAGCGCTATTTGATACATAATACACTAAAGTTAAAATTTCTCAGAACAAATTTATCTTTAAATTCCATAATCGCATAAACAGCTATATCTTTAAGTGATTCTATTGGATAAACAAAATTTCAAATATTATCTCAATTCGTCATTATACTGAATATTTATTGCTTTACTGAGGGTTTCATATCGTGTTACAATAAATAGAATTGGACTTATAGATAATGATGTTTGTTTCATCTTATGTAAAAATGTAACGGTTTTTTAAGTGACATTTGCGCTAAAATATTTTATATCATACAGATTACCCCTGCGTAATCTTTATTTTTTTCTAACTTTATACATAATTATTATGATAATTACTAAATATTTTTGCTTCTTATTACAAATATAAAATATTATTTAGCGAAAACGTTTTACATTGTTTTAAATAACAATACTCAACAATTATAGTAACTTATTATTCATCTCGACAAAGTATCCGATCTTAAATTAGTGCAAGAAAATTATTTTTTTTAAATATTAGAGATTATTCTAATTTAACACATCGGATACAGACAATACAGTTTATTATAATAATGTAATATGATCTTTTATGAGTTTTTGGTCTTTCTTACTCATAAGTTTGTTTTTGGTGAAAAGCACTCAATATACTCTATAGTGATAATGAATTAATTAAATTGGATATAATTTTGTTAAATTATTATTTAAAAAAATAAACTTATTGATTTATTTTATTGTTTTTATTGTTTAGTTGAATATAGTTGTAATTGTATATACATTTTTCATATTTGTACTAGTAACTTTCAATTTTGTTTACGTTTGTTTAAGATAATAAAAATACCAGTAATTTACCGGTATTCCGGTTTTAAAATGAAAAATTACCGAATTACCGGTATTGAAATTTTCCATCGGCATTGCATTCCCTAAAGACAATTTTATTAATATTTGATCAGTGATCGTGGTTGATTTGGATGAATTATGATGACCGTGGTTGGTAAAAATTAGCTACAAATAATAATGATCATGTGTACTTTGATATTCACCTTGTTTTTATGACAAACACAATCACTGTATCAAACTATATTTTTTAACTTCTCTTAGAAAGTAGAGTTTCAATGATAGATTATAGGTACACTTTGCAATTTATAATAATGTTGGCTATATTTACTTTTTAAACAAGAATAAAGTAACTCGAGTTTTTTTTAACAAATATTAAACTAATAAACATTTTATAATTTTATGTATTATTTTAATTAAATTTTCTATTCACCAACCGCCAAACAAACCAGAGCAAACAATGCCAACACTTTCATTTTTGTTTTTGGTTTTATTGTTGATTGAACTTAAAGCAGATCAAAAATCTAAAAAAATATACGAAACAACCAACTAGTCGAGTATTTATATACAAAGTTATGTAACTCATTAAGGTTATCAAAAATGTTTATTTTTTTAATCATTAGATTATAAGTTTTATCCATAGACGTGCGATTTTTTAAGGATAAGTTATATCTAGTAATCGTCCAAAAATCGAAAATACAATTTTTCGCGTATCTTTACGTGTCGGAAGTTTTTAAATACTTTGGCGTACCTTAGAAAAAAATTGATGTATCTGTGTGTGTATGTTTGGATGCAATTTGGAAAATTTCAAAATGCATTCGATTTGCTGGTTAGTCGAACCGGCTGGTTAGTTTTTGAAAAAGGCAAGTCTATCCATTTTGGAGATACAGAGCAAATAGTGGTAAAAATTACAGTTTTGGAGAAAATGGAGCATCCGATTCGAATGATTTAAAAAACATTTGGCTTGTGTTGACAGTGTGAAGAAATGATTAGTTTTTAGAAGAAAATCCTAATTTATCCATTTTTTTAATTTTCAAAGAATGTTTTCTTTAGATACCAATAATTATTCGGATTTTAATTTTAATTCTAGCCAAAATTCTAGAGCTTACTTGTATATTTAAAATAAATAATTTTAACTTTGCAATTCCGTTCATATTATTCTTAGAAATATGAGATAAGGACCTTTAAATTTAACTCCACTTGATTAAATTTTATATATTTATTTTTCATATAAGTATGTATATACGTCTTAGTCCAAATTATAAGCGCTTATCTTTTGTCTATAAAGTAGGAACAATAAAAGTTACAGGATTTATAATAAACTATTTGAATACATTTAATATTCCTCGAATATCTCGTTATGGTACGAGAAGTTTCAGCAATTTGCCTTAAGGCACGATGCCATGCACTAGTTAATAATTGTTAACACTACCATTTAATTGATAATATAGTTATAAATAAAAAATATATTTAGAAAACTCTAAAATTAACTTAAATGTTTCAAGTAATTCTCTTTCTAATTCAAAGGCTTCCTTATCATAAAGGTTTGTCTTTTCACCATATTTATGTAGTTTTTCTTATTAAATATATATTTTTAGAAAAAAGTTTTCTTTTAGTTTTTAATTTTGATAAATTTTTCAGTATTTTATTTTCAGTCTTAAAATCTCAAAAAATTACAGACTCAGTTTTTAAAGTTGACTGCAACGATTGCAAAGTTTGTTACATTGGTGAGAGCTTCTAATATGTTAATAAAAGAATGAGCCAACATATCTATAACTGACAAAATCTTAAACAATTTGGAATAATATTATATGAACATATGGATAAATTCGAACACACTCTTGGCACTAATGATCCCATAATACTGTATAAAGAATGCTGATCTTAGAAAATTAGCTGAATCATATTTGCCATAACATTTCTATTTTATGGGCAAATTGGCTCCTAAAGATATAACCACGAAGCAACAGATACATTTTAAGATATTAAAATTTCCAAGATACATTAATATTATTTTAGAAGTACTTTAGAATCCTAGACACACACATGGAATAAAACAATATTTATAGAAAATTTGTGAACTGATTTATTTTACTAACATATATAGCAGAAACAAAAATTTTGATATTTGAATAGTTGATAATTTAAATTGTTGAGTATTTTGAAAGTTGTGTATTTTTTAAATAAAAATTGCAAATTTATTTTGTTTTCCTTGTTTTGAATATAAAAAAATACTGCTTAATCCCTCTATTCCTTCTTGGGGCATTCAGTAGGCAAAACGCATTTTCCTTCCTTGGTGAGTCTTACGTAACCCTCATCGCAGACGCAGGTCTTGGTGTCGCATTTTGGTGCACAGAAATGTGGGGTTCCGTAGTTTTCGCAGGTGGTGACACATGGTGACGCGCAATCCTTCAAGTTTCGTGTTCTCCGCAAGTTACTTCATGGTGTTCGCCTTCGTGGTGGTGATCGTGGTGTTCATCAGTACCTTCAGCTGGGTAGGAAAATATTTAGGGTGACTATTTTTTTTTTTTAATTTTGTCTGTGATGATGGTTGGGTTAGTTGAATTATGATCGTGGTGATTGGTACCTTCAGCTTTGTATTTTAGAAAATATTTATTTCTTTGATACTTGGTCAGTGATGGTTTGTTAGGTGAATTGTGATGAACGCGGTTGTGAAAAAATAGCGAAAAATGTTGATTACGTATTTATTGATATTTACTTTAGTCAACGTTATTTTTTTAGAGCAAGCCAATTATATTATATTTACTGCTTTAGGAAGGAAGCGGTCGCTTTCTCATCTCACAGGCAGTTTTATGACCTTTTAGGTATACGAGCCAAAATAATGCCATTGTGTATTTTCCAGTAAATACAAAAATATTACTTCAAAGATACAGAAAAATGAAATTGTGTTCAAGTGTGAACAGCTCAAATGTAATAGCATTTTGCCTTAATGCAACACCGTGTACATAGTCAACTTAACCAAAAAGAAATGATGATTTAGATAAAACGTGTATGTGTAAAACGCCTGATCGCACAGCAAATACATAGCATTTAGACTGTTTTTAGTACCATTGTATATGAAAACCGCAACTTAACATAGCCTTGCCATAACACTCATCTATTTTAAGGCGGAATTGGCCCATCAATAGATAGATTATATGTAGTAATTTATTCCCTTTTTAAACAAGAAGAACGTAACTTTAGTTTGCTTTAATATATATTAATAATAAATGGTTTATTATTTTATGTATGATTTTATTCTAATTTTTCTATTCACCTGCAACGGCTACAGCCAAGCAAACCAGAGCAAATAATGCGATCACTTTCATTTTGTTTATTTTTGTTGATTGAGCTTAAAACAGATCAAAATTCTAAACAAATATAAGGAACAACAAATTAGTCGAGTATTTATATACAATATTATGTAACTCATCAAGGTTATCAAGTTTATTTGTTTTTTTTTTTACTCTATAATCATTAGATTATATATTTTTATCCATTGACGTGCCACTTGATGGGGGACATAAATTATTGTATAGATAATTTTTTTTTCAAAAGTCTTTCTGAAGTCAAAGTGCTGAAAGTTGCCGTACTAATAATCATATTTTTTTAAAATTTCTGAAATTTTGTAAGAACTAAAAGAATTAGATTTTAAAGATAACTGAAGAATTAGATTAAAGAACTAAAAGATGAGAATTTTGAAATTCTTGAAAAAGTTAGACTTTTTTGAAAAATTAGAATTGTTTTATGAATATTTTGATTTTTTCGAAAATTTTGAACTTTGTTTTGAAAACAATCGTGCTGTTTTAGAACAAAATATCGGAGCGCGCAAGCGCCGCGTCGCTGTCTAACAAATAAACATTGGTACTACTAACCGCATAGCAATGTAAAACAAAATTTGTACTTCTTGAAATCTCTAAAAAATATCTGATAATATGATGTGTAAAATATAATTAATTTATTAATATCAAAGAAATCATATTCTTTGTGAATAATTCTAATCGGTTAATCCGTGCTCTCAAAATCGTCGACTAAAAATTGTATCTGCACATAAACACACTCACACACACACAAACAACATTTTTTTCCAAGGTATGTCGGAAAAAAATGACAAACATTTTTATTGCCATTCTTTTGCAAATAACATAACTTACCCTACGGAAAGTTAACCTATAAAAATATTCATATTTTTTTATTTTTTAGATTTAAATAATGAAAATTCAAGAGGATTGAAAATTCATTTTATGTAACATTACATAATATGATAAGACACATGATTTTTAAATAGATTTTTCTAAATTTAAATTTGCATACAATTTTATTAAAATACATGAACATAATAAATGTTACTAATTATTCATTACAAAAAGACTCATCGATTGATTTTAATATAGAGCAAATAAAATGTTTCATTTTATGTTGAAGATAAGTTTTTTTGGAACTAAAGTATGGCTCCCAAACTATGGTTCCTTTAGCAAAGTTTCTTGAAAGTACCTATAGAACTAGATTTTCGTTATGCCCTCCTGTGCATTTTTGGCACCATACATCTTATACCACTCACACTTTTAGAATCTCTAGAATTCAACATCTTTGTAAAATCCACTGTGAAAATTCACTAGGCTGTTTATCAAAAGACATCATTCCTTCAGAATCTGTTACATATCCCAAACCAGCACTATTTAAATACACAAAATTATTTATCAAATCCACCTCAAATGTTACCCATATTTGGAAGTTCCTTTGGGATTCAACATTTAATTTGCTTTCGATGTACCATTCTGGGAAAAAAGATCTCTGAGACATTATATAAAAAAATTGAAATTTCTTGAGAACCCATTTTGTACTTTTGTAGGCAGTTCCACCAGGTGAAAGATAAACGTTCCAGGTTCCTGCATTATTGAAAACTTTTAGAAAATTACCAGATAATTTGTTTTGTATACAAAACGTGTCTGTATATGCAGCAGCCTGGATAGAAAAAGGAAGTTTTTGTATTAGTTTGACAACTTTTTCCTGTTCATCTGGTTGAAAATTGGATCGTTCATACACTTTTTTGATGTATTGCACAAAAGTGAAAAAATCATCGTAATTATTGGTTTGCAATAATTTATTTACTACAAATAACCCATGAATGCTCAGTGGTAAGTTTGTGTTGTTACTTACAAAATCTATGAGAGAAAGTGTACCAATTTTTTTGTATAACTGTTGAATAATGTTGGTGAAAAGTGTGAATCCTGCATCATGATCCAAAGAATATACTTGGCTAAAAAAATTATAAGAACTGTCACGAAATTTTTGATCATTTGATGTATCATTTGTTACATTCGCCATTTCGGCTGTTTTGCTTTGAATCATTTGATCCAAAACTTTGGTCTTCAGATTTGTCCAATCCGAGTAATTATAACAAGTCGAGATGAAAGTAGCCATTTGTAAGAAACTATCGGAATTTGCAGTTGATTTAGATTGCTCAAACAATTCTTGATATAACAATAATGCTTTATTCCCATCCTCATTGTAAACATAATTCGCAAAATTTAAAATTGTACCAAAATTTTGTGAGCTATTCCCATATGCCTCATGAATTACTTCATCATAATTCGATTGTAAAACTGATTTTAAAATATCAGCAGCCCTGGAAAATTCGCCTTTAGCAATTGCTTCTCCACATTTTGTTGCCAATGTGTATCTATTTAGAATTTCCAATCTTGCTCGATTTTCATTTATAAATTTTAGCAATTTGTTGTACTTTTCTGCATCATGTTTCATTAAATAATCCAATCTTTTTTGAATATTTTCAATGTCTCCTTGTAAAATAAGATTTATGTCTTCTAGGCTAATGGTCACAGATTCGGATGAAACACTTTCATTAGGAGATGGAGTTAGAAAAATTTGTGCTAGAACTATTTTTATATTTAATATTATGAATAAAAGTTGGAAGAAATTCATTTTAATTAAATCTTTGCACTGATATCTATTTTACATATTACATTTCTATATATATGGAGAATATTTTATCTTTACTTATGCAACCATAAAATTTATGGAGGTATTTATTTTATGAAAATTTATTTTTAGATAAAAATAGGCAAACTATCTGAGATTATAATGAGATAAATTGCTGAATATAATTTTATCTAGGCTTGAAGTTTTTCTCAAGAAATTGCAGAGTAAACTATAATAAATTATACCAAAAATAGTTCTGCAAATTTGCTTAGTATCTTTGAAAACTAAATTAATATTAAATAAGTGAATAATAAATTTAGATTATTGTACCTACAGATAATGTCAACATATAGAATGATTTACACTAGAAGAAATATTGCACAAACCAAATATAGTTTGTGTGTATAACTATTTTAATAATAAAATCATCAAGCTTGGTTAACCATTGGGTTGTCATCTACAATAATATAAAAAAATCTAGAGGTGAATATAATATAAAATTTAATAACGCTTTGAAATGTGATTTTTTAAAAAAATTGAAAAAATGTGAATTTTTCTAGAATTTTGAAAAAACGTGATATTTTGCGAATTTTGAAAGAATGTGATTTTTTTCAGAATTTTGAAAAATGTGTGATTTATTGAGAATTTCGAAAAAATGTGATATTTTTGAGAATTCTGAAAAATGTGATTGTTTGAGAATTTTGAAAAAATGTGACTTTTTTGAGAATTTTGAAAAAAATAGATTTTTTGAGAATTTTGAAAAAATGTGATTTTTTGAGAATTTTGAAAAAATATGATTTTTTAGGAATTTTGAAAAAATGAGATTTTTTGAGAATTTTGAAAAAATGTGATTTTTTGAGAATTTTGAAGAAATGTAATTTTTTGAATCTGAAATTTTTAAAACAGATTTTTTTTTATTTTACTTCAGAACAGTCGGGCTGCGTAGCTGTTTTCAAAGACGAAATAACAAAGCGCGTAAGCGCTGCGTCGCACCCTAACGATTAAACATATAAATCTTAAAAATTAATAAATCTTGAAACTTATAGAAATGTAAAAAATGTACTTTCAAAATCTTTATAAAATCTCTTAAAATTTGATTCGCATGTGTCCAATAATCATTTTTGCCGCCGAATTCCATTTTTTTCACTTTCGTCAATGGATTTACAAAACCGCTAGACCTGCCTTTTCAAAAATACATATATTCAGTTGGTTGATAAGAGGGAAATGTTTTTACTCTACGTTTTCTCAAAAACTGAATTTCCATTATTTGCATTTTTTCCTTGTTTCATCGAAACGTTTGAACCTGCCTTTACCAAAAACTAATCATCACGTCCCCCCAATAATAGGAATCAAATCTTTTTTAAATTATTCAAAGCGATTGATCCGTGCGCCCAAAATCGTAGACGAAAAATTGAATCCAAACATACACACACACCTACAACTCAATTTTTCTAAGGTATGCCCAAGTGATCAGAAGTCTATAAAAAAAAAGAAAATGAGAAAACAAATCATTTTGTTTTTTTAATATTATAATTTAGCAATTTTCAATTACTACGCCCATGCTCGATCTAGCAAACTAGTGAAAAAAATCATTATCCTGATATGTTTGAATAATTAAAACGACACTTTTATGATAACTAATTGCTTCCATAAAAGCAAAAATTTAATCATCTTATTTACAAATATTCATTTTAGCAGTAATTAAAATACATGGTGAGATCTGACTATCATAAAACAAAACTGGAATAGTTAGATAATAAATTCTATTTTATCACATAAATTGCGAAAATAATAATAATGATAGCAAATTTGGGCAGTGGAATATTTTTATATCTAGACAGGAAGAAAGAAGAAAATATAATTATCATATATATATATATATATATATATATATAATATATATATATATATATATATATATATATATATATATATATATATATATATATATATATATATCAAAAATAGATATCGTATCTTTAGGTGATATTAATTATTGCATCACTCTCCATGCCAAAATATATAAAAACAAATCTACATTTTATATAATTTATAATAAAAAATAAATTTCTTAGTATAAACAAATAGAAGTAAAATAAAATAAAATTTTCAAAGTGAAGATAACCCATATAAGGGATAAGTACAAAACTAGGTGTATGTGGCACATCACTAATTTTGTTTTATGTCAAAAAGATTTGAAGATTTTTGATTTATAGAGCAATATTGCTAAAAAATTATTTTCTTCCCAAAATTTAGTATTTTTTATTGGATTTCCGAAACTGATAGACCGGCATTTCAAAAAAATGAATCAGTTCTTCATTTCACCAATACAAATAAATTATTTTTAAATCATTCAAATTGGACACACCATTCTCTCAAAATCTGAATTGCAATTTTTTGCACTTTTTGCCCCGTATCTCCAAAACGGCTAGACCTGCCTTAGTCAAAAACTAATTAGCCTTAGCACATCACTAATTTTGTTTTATGTCAAAAGAGATTTGAAGATTTTTGATTTATAGATCAATATTGCTAAAAATAATTTTCTTCCCACAATTTAGTATTTTTTATTGGATTTCCGAAACTGATAGACCTGCATTTCAAAAAATTGAATTAGTTCTTCATTTCACCAATACAAATACATTATTTTTAAATCATTCAAATTGGACACACCATTCTCTCAAAATCTGAATTGCCATTTTTTGCACTTTTTGCCCCGTATCTCCAAAACGGCTAGACCTGCCTTAGTCAAAAACTAATCAACACGTCTACGCATCAATAGAAAGCGAATGTTTTATGAATCATTAAAATCGGTTGATCTGTGCTCCCGAACCGTGGACTAAAAATTGTATCCGCACATACATGCACACACATATATATACATATATATACATATATATATATATATATATATATATATACATACACATATATATATATATATATATATATATATATATAAAATCGATTTTTTTAAGATATGTCAAAATGTTCAGAAACCTCTAAACGTAAAGATATCCAAAAAATATTTTCGACTTGTTTTGAGATTACTATAAATTACTTTATGGAAAGTTGAATGTTTCGGCACAAATTCATACTCGATCTGGGGAGAATAATATTTATTCTATATTGTAACGATTTAGAGTAATAATCATTAATCGAGAATTTACAGGAAATTTGGAATACTTAAAAATAATCAACATGCAATATAACAAACTCATATGCAAATAATGCTGAAAGTTATGTATGCAAAATATTTGATACATTTGGACTTGAAATTTAATATAATCTAAATTTTAAAACTAGAGGGGTGCCAAATTGCTGGAACTTCCCGTACCGTAACGAAATGTTCGAGGAATACTAAATGTTTTCAAATAGATTATTATAAATATTGTAACATTGTCTAATATTTATAAGAATTATATAAGCTGAATTGCAAAGTTAAAATTATTTGTTTGAAGTATATTAGAACTTTAGTCAGAATTAAAAATAAAATATGAATTATTTTTAATATACAAAAAAACTGAAAAAGATACAAATTTTTTTTTCCAAAATTAATTATTTTGTTAAAATAAGCTGAAAGTTAATTGAATCATTTAAATTGGACGCTTAGTTCTTTCAAAAACTGCCATTTTTTGCACATTTAGCTCTGTATCTTCAAAATGGCTAGGCCTGCCATTGTTAAAAACTAATAATCACTTCTCCCAATCATTACTAATTGAATGTTTTTTAGATCATTCAAATTGGATGCTCTGTTCACTCAAAAACTCGATTTCTATTTTCTGCACTCTTTGCTCCGTATCCCCGGAACGGCTAGACCTGCCTTTGCCAAAAACTAATCAGCTCTTTTCCCTATCGATAGGAATCGAATGTTTTTTGAACCATTCTAATCGGTTGATCCGTGCGCCCGAAAACGTGACTGGAAATTTGTATCCATACATACATACACACACATACATCTATTTTTTTTGAGGTAGGTATTCCAGAATGTTCAGAAACCTTCAAAACGTCGAGAAATGTAAAAAGTTCAACTTTGATTTTCGGCCCATTACAATAGGAAGTTAATAATAATAACGGTTTATAAATATTTAGTAATTTTATTCATTTGCAGTTTTACAGGTATGAGTTATAAGCTCTTGATCAGAATAATTTGAAACATCATCATAATTTTCCTAGGCACTTTCAATTTAAGAGCTCTTGGGCTGTTGCAGAATGTACTCACCACTTCTTCTCGTCCTTTTTATATAAACATTGATTCATAAATACAAAGAACAGTAAGTTTTGCAAACAATAGCAATAACTTAGTTTTTTCTCTAAGTAACTTTTTTTATTAGTGGTTAATGTCTTCGTGAATTGCTAATTTATCAGCTACAGCTAGATAATTCGCTTAAATTTAATCTAAATTTCTAACATCAAATATTTTTGGTACTATGTTAAAACTTAATACTATTTATCAATAATTATTGTAGTGCTTCTTGATCAAAGTTTTTTGGTTGTTTTGTGACGTGGATTTGGCAATTGGTGGCACCTGGTTGGCATTCATGTGCATTTTCATCACCAAATACGAAATCGTCATGGTCATCATATTGATCATCAGTACCTCTAGCTGTGTAATTTAGAAATTACTTATGATGATTATTTTATAATGAAAGTCACATATTAGTTTATATATTGTAGTAATTCCGTTGCCAATATTAGAAAAAAATTTAAAAAAAAATGTTTTGTGTTAAGTGATTTGTTATGATTGTGATTGTTAGGCATAAGTTACGAATAATGCTGATTATTGACTTTTTTATATTTTTTATATGATAATAAAAAAAAGACTTGGGTTTTTTATAATATATATCAATTATACATGGGTTTCATTTTTAGTTTTATTTTATTATATATATTTTTTTTTAATCACCTGCAAAAGCAAGAGCTACCATCATCCAGATAACAGCAAATAATGCCCACACTTTCATTTTGTTTATTACTATTGACCGAGTTCAATCAAAACAGATCAAATATCTAAAAAATTATGAAAAAACACAAAATACTCGAGTATTTATATACGAAATTATGTCGAACATCAAGGTTATCAAAATTGTTTATTTTTCACAATAAATTAACTTGACTTTACAAAATTAGATAGTACATGAATATAGAATTTAGTAATTTACACGTTAGACAAATGTATTAGTTCATATTATAATGTAATAATGTAATGAAAAATATATTCGAAGTAAAAACAAATTGTTCACATTTTGTACTTCCATTAACTTCCCGTAGCATTCAGTTATAGTAATCATCCAAAAATCTAAAATAAAATTTTGTGCATATATTTACGTGTCCGGAGTTTCTGAACATTTTGACATACTTTGAAAATTTATATGTGCATGTGTGTGTGAGTGTGTTTGTGTGAGTTTTGTTTGTGTGTATACAATATTTCTGATTGATTATTGATATTCTAAATTGATTATATATTTTCATAGGCAGGTCCAGCAGTTTCGTAGATTTATAAACAATAGTTTAAAAAAATGTGATTTGACGCTCGGAGATCAAATATTTTCGACAAGCATGAATAGGTCTAAAAAAAACAAAATTTAAAATAAACAAAAACAAAATTTAAAATTTTCAATAAAAAAATGAAAAACTTGTTTTTAAAAATATCGTATACTCAAAAAACATCATTATTTAAAAAAATCATAATTTTTAAGAGAGACAATTTTTAAATTGTTTTACAACATTCAAAATTTCAAATGTTTTTAATATTAGCAAAAATTAGAAAAACTCTTTCTGAGCTTTCAAAAATATTAAATTAGGTACAGTAAGTTCTAGCAATTTACCTTAAAGCACGATGACACGCACCACTAGTTTGCAACGTAAAAATATAACAAAGTATCGTATTATTAAAGTAAAATCTAGTCATTGTGGAATAATAATTATTATTAAAAATCAAGTCAAAATTCACCATAAATTGTAAAAAGTCGGATATAATATTTATGTAGAAATTTTCAAGCAGATTGTTCGATATTCTTAAGCAAATTTTGAAATTATCAAGTATATAATTTAGTATAAGCTTTAGGCTGTAAAAATAGGTATATTTCTGCCATTGTGCAAAACTTTTTAAAAAAGGATCTGAAAGCTAAGAATGCAAGAAACATAAATTTGTGCATAAAACTTGAGTTTAAAATAAATTGCTCAGTCAATGAATTTTAGATTGAATTATCCAAATGTATTGGATACCATTTTGAAAACCATTTTTGGTGCATGAAATAACAAATACCAGATTATAAAAATGTAGTGTGTTTATTGATTTACAGTTGTACAGATAAACATTAATAAACTTCTTGGTCAGAATAATTTGGAAAAAAGTGTGACATCTTCCTAACTCTAAATTTATTCGGTCTTGCTGGGGCATTCGGTTGGCAAAATGCATTTTCCTCCTTCGACATCCCTGATGTATCCCTTTTCGCAAACACATTTTTTGGGTCCATCACACAAAGGAGCACAGAAATGAAGAGAGTCGTAATTTTCGCAAGTGGTGACACATGGTGTGGCGCATTCGCTGGCTTTTTCGTTTTCTCCGCAAGTTACTTCGTGTTCTTCATGGTGTTCATGGTGTTCATGGTCACCCTCGGTGTGGTGCTCATGGGTTTCATGGGCTGGTTCATCGGCTACGGCGGCTGGATAAAGGACAATTTTTTTAAAAAAAATGTAATTCAGAAAAATTATCTTCTCATCCTATTTTAAACCAATACTTTCTAACCAAAATTCCTTTAGATGCCCTTGTCGATGAAGATAGTAAATATAAGAACAATTTGTTTTTAAAAGTTTGTCAACTCGTAAGCACGTCTTATCAAGTTGAAACATTAAAATTTAATGTCTGTCAGCAAACACTTAGAATCTAGTTAATTTAGTTTAGACACACTGAATTGCAATCCCTTAAAAAAAATACAATTTCGATTACATTCAAGAAAAACTTAATCATGTTGGTAACTAGTCCAGTCATTTAAGCTTAAATTAGGTACGAATCTCAGAATTCGAGATACCGAGCTGTAAGTCTATGAATACTTGTATATTGACACCCTAAAGTTGTCCTAAAACCTACATATGATAGGGTGTCAATAGCATATATAGGTCTCAATAGGTTTTGAGACAACTTTAGGGTGTCAATATACAAGTATTTACAGACTTACAGCTAGATATCTCAAATTACAAGGTGAACTTTCTATACTGACTGGACTAAACTAACTTTTGTTTACAACCAACCCTAAACTTTTTGCAAATTTTAGCGTAAACACTTACAAGCTCCTAAGAATTTTACAAAATATACGAACATCTATAACAAATAAGTTAAATCGTTACAATGTATTCACCTGATGATACAACAGCTGCTGCCAAGCAAGTCAACAATAAAACTGCCAAAACCTTCATTTTTGATTTGTATAGAAAAAATGAGTTTGTAGTAAATAGTTTGAAAATCTAATCACTTATAAAACACTATAAAACCGTCGGGTATTTATATACGATTTTTCACTCAAGTTTGACATCAAGGTTATCGACGTTCATTCACAGCAAATTAATTAATAGTTTGCTTCAGTTAGAATACATGGGCGTTTTTATATTATCTTAACCGAAAAAAATAATTTATATTGTCAAAAAAGTACGGAATAAATATTCTCTAACAGCAATACACACATTTTCATCAATATTCTAACATATGCAAAAACATGCAACCGACGTTTTGCCGAAGGGTGTTTTATTCAACTATATGACAAAACAGAAACTAAACGCAATGAAATTTATGCAACGCATATTAAAATATAAGTTGAAAAATGTACCGCTCAAATTATGTAAACATTATGTACTATTTTAATTTTATTTCTCAGATAATTTTGTTTCGACATAAAACTTAAAATGAATTTAACCAAAAATCAGTTTTTATTGATACTATATTTCGATCACTAGATTCTTATGTAAATTTGAAATATTTAAAAATTAGTATCAATACATAGTATCAATACCGAAATTTACTACTAAATATAATCAATGAAAATAACTTCCTGACTGAAAAAAGTATCTTATCTAGTTATGCTAAACTTGATTTTGATAATAGTAAACTATCATTGTTCTTAGAATACTATGCCAAAAAATATCGATCCAAAATTTATAATAATTTAAAGTAATATCATTCCCCAAATTCGCCACTTAACTTATAAAATTATAAACTTTTTCATTAAAAAGAAAGTTATATGTTAGAGTAGTTCTTGAGTTCTCTTCATGTAATTATATTAAATTATATTATTCATGTAATTATATCCAATTATATATATATATATATATATATATATTTAATAATTATTTTTGTCTACGCCCTTGATCTAAATAATTATTTTTATTACACTTATTAGTCGGAAGAAATTGGACAATTTAAGATAGCATAAGTGAGTATTAAAACTAGTTATATAATATTTACAACATAAATTTTTTTGCCGATAAAAAATGTAATAAAACTGACAACGAACTGACGCTTTGACCGCAAAAATTATCTCCAAACATTAACCGGAATGGTCAGATTATAAAAGATGCTGTATAAAAATAACATAAATTAAGATGCCATCTTTAGAATAAATATTTATTTTGAGTAGATAGATTTTACATTAAGAAAATATATGTACATGCATTTGTAGTTAATAATATATTGTGTGCGGATAAAATGTTTCGTCGACAATTGTGATAGCACGGATCAACCGATTAGAATGATTCAACGAACATTCGATTTCCATTAACAAGGCGTGTCGATTAATATTTGGCAAAAGCAGGTTCAGCCGTTTCGAAAATTCAGAGCAAAAGGTTAAAAAAATGGCAATTTAATCTGTGATAAGATTTGAATGATTCAAATTGAATTTCATTTATTTTGACGGAATAAAGAGTTATTTCATTTTTGGGATGGCAGGTCCTGCGGTTTTGGATATACCAATTTTTTTTTTTTGCAAAATTGAATTTGTTTTTAAATATTCAAATTTGGTCTCAGTTGATTCAAAATGGCTTGAAACCGGATTTTTGACTATAACAAGTTGATAATTTTTAACTTCCCCAAGGAGAAGTTTATGTTTTCATAAAAAAATCCGATTCGCTAATTTTAAGTTTTCTTGACGTTTCAAGCCATTCTGAATCGAATGAGACCAAATTTGGAAAAAGTATGTGTGTGTGTGTGCGTGTATGTGAACAGATTTCTTGCTGTAAATCGACGTTTTCTCAAAAACGCCTGAACCGATTTCAGAAAATTTAAAGCCATTTGATGTATCCCGATGAGGACTATCGTTTGTCAGTTTTGTGCGATGATCTGCCAAACCGTTTCTTTGTAATTTCGAAAAAAGTGTTAAACTTTTCGTCCACATTTTAGCTCTTACTATCGATTCGATTTTAAAAAATCAAAAACTATTCAAAAGATATTAGTTGGAAATGATACTGATTAGTTTTAGGTAGAAATCTACCGAGCGGTTTTTTGTAATTAACTGTTGAAAAAAAATTTAAGCCGATTTTTATGGAACTTTTTTTGGCGATTCTTTATTGATTAACTCGTTCATTTACACTTATCGGGAAGTTCATGTAACTTGCCCCAAGGCAAAATATCAATACTAACTAGTTATTACTTTAAATAAAGAAATACATGTAAAGAAAAATATAGCTATTTTATTAATATCAATTAGATATGAGCTAAACCATAAATATAACTGTGATACCAGAACAGAATACTATAAATACTATATCTACTATACATATTTGACGGGGCATCGGATGCGCATAATGCATTTTCCTCCTTCAGTTTCTCTTATGTAACCAGGTATGCAAATGCATTTCTTTGCACCGCATTTATTGACATAGAAATGAGGAGATTTGTGAGTTGCACAAGTTGGAGTTCGAGTTGACCAGCATTCACTTAGGTATTCGAATTCGCCACAATTTGATTCATCTTCTTCCTTGCTTTCTTCTTGCTGGGAATCATTTTCAGTTTCTTCTTCTTCTTCAGCTGGATAATATAGTGAAATTCTTCATCAATTGTTATAAAAAAATATTACTATGATAGGTATCAACTACATTCACCAAATACTACAGCTGAAGCTAAGCAAACCAACATCAAAATCGCCAATACTTTATTCATTTTTGGTCAAAACAGCAGAAGTATAAGATTGCTCGAAAATCTAATCACTTATAAAACACAGAAAAACAGCCGGATATTTATATATAAGTTTTCGACCATATTTGCAAAGGTTATCATTTTTGCAGATTAAAAGTTCCGCTTAACTGCCAATAATATTTTTTTGATATTCGTCGCAATACTCCTCCGAAACGGTTTGACCGATTTTGATAAAATTTTATAAACACGTTTAGTATGACTCAGAACTGACGCCTATTTTTAGACTTCTAAGTGGTAACAAAACATTGAGTTTTTGGACCAGTTATAAAAACGAATTTTACCCAAAATTTATACCCTTCAACCACAAATCTTCAAATTCGTAATGTTTTAGACCTAATTTTAGGCCTGATTTTTTACTATTTATGATATACCATAAATTTTACTTTGAAAACAGTTCAGTTTTATCAAGGGTTGGCCAGCGCTTACATTTTTTTTTTTAATTTTTGGATCAATTTTTTTCATTTCAATTTTTAAAGCGGAATTGAAAATACATACGACTCTAAATTTTCTACCACAAATATCTATTTCACAATATAGTCATTTTAGCAGCCTAATAATTTTATATAGCTCGATTATATATCTATTATCGTCTTTTTTATGAACGTTTTTCTTTTAATTTTGATTAAGATTTTTCTGAGCTTATTGAAAAGGAAAGGTTACCATCGATAAAACTAGATGAGTGCATATGATGATTGCAGGATTTTTTCGCAAAAATATTAAAATTTGAAGATACTAATACTAATACTAATTAAAATCTAAAATACTTTTTAAGAGCAAACTATACACCAAACAAATTTATGGCAAAATTGTAAATTTTTTCTCAGAATTTTTGGAGTTTTACTAGATTCGTTGTATGCCACAATAGAATTCAAAATTGAAAATTAGGATTTTTATCCTTGATTCAATATCAAATGAGCCAATTCAATTTATATGAGATCAGTTTTAGGTTAGGCTAGCACTTGGAATGACTATTAATATGATATTGATTAATATGACCTAGGAATATTCAAATGTGGCATGCATTGCAGTGGGTAAATATCAAATTAAATTGTGTAAGCTGCCTCTTTTACTTATATACCACACTCGTATATTCGCAATTAATTAGCTATTTTGTATGCTAAAATTTTCTAGATTTTTTATGGTTTAACATTTGCAAAACCAACTGGTATTCATAGTAAACTAAAACAACTATTTTGTATTGAATTAAAATTATTTTATTACTTCAAACAGCTGAATATTTGCAAATGGTAGTTATTGTAATCATATTGTTTGAGTTTGACGAATATAATATAATTAAATTTTGCATATTAAAATAATTTTGAAAAAATTGAAGCATTATTTAAAATTTTGAGAAATTATTCGGATTTGGGACACTCGGTTGGCAAAATGCACTTTCCTCCTTCAACATTTCTGATGTATCCAGATTCGCAGACACATTTCTTAGGGCCATCACAAACAGGAGCACAGAAATGGTAAGATCCATAGTTTTCGCAAGTGGTGACACATGGTGTCGCACAATCACTGAGTTTTTCGTTTTCTCCACAAGTTACTTCATGGTGATCGCCTTCGGCATGGTGTTCGAGGGTTGCTGGTTCATCGGCTAAATATAATAATAATATTTATTTGAATATGTTTTCTCTTGAACTGTTGGTCGAATAATTGTTGCTAATGAACAAACAATTTGACTTGTCAGGGTAGAAACAATTCACAAGTTAAAGCTCATGCCAATAACAAATCTTTCAGTGAGATAGACTTCAAAGTCTATCTCACTGAAGAAGAGTTTTTGCTGGGTTGAGTATAAATTTCATACAAAATAATATCAAATCAAACTTCATTTTTATTTTGACGACAGATCTCTAAGTTCATTGTTATTTTGACGACAGATCTCTAAGTTCATTGTTATTTTGACGACAGATCTCTAAGTAATTTCATCGGCACTTAAGATTTGCAATAAATTTTCTAAAATGCTATTGTAATAGATTTGAAAGTTCTATTCACCTGATACAACAGCTGCTGCCAAGCAAGTCAACAATAAAACTGCCAAAACCTTCATTTTTGATTAGAAGAAAAAAAGTGTTTGTAGGAGATAGTATGAAAATCAAATCACTTATAAAACACCATAAAACAGACGAGTATTTATATACAAGTTTTCGTCCAAGTTTGACATCAAGGTTATCGACGTTCATTCATGGCAGATTAATAGTTTTGCTTAATTGACCGACGTGTTTTAATAGTAATTAAAAAAATTATGTCATTTCATAAATTGGTAGTAATATA